AGGTTCCATAAACCTGTTAGTTAAAAATGAGGCCAAGGACTAAGCTAGTTTGCTTATAGAGTTCGACAGCCCCTCGGCACCTCCTCTGAGCTCTCGATGAGGTACATACAGCAATTAAAACCGGTAGTGAGAGTAGTATATTTGCGGATAACTAAAACATGACGCAGTTTTACAAGACCCTCCACCTATACTCCTAAAAGCAATTCGTAGGAACACTCGAGCTTCGGTGTGAGCAACATCCGATCATGGAACTGGAATGTTGATTATTTATTTTTCAACTTGACATGATTTCTCCTTCCGACTAAACAGTTTGATATAAATCACGACGTATTAGTCTGTAGAAGAATCATCGCAACTGAGCTTGTTCGCTACTGTGTTTTTCTTACAATGTATAATGATGGTATATTCGGACACCCTTTTAAATGTGTTGGCTCGATATTACGCCAACTTTTGGATCGGTCAGCAAATGTTGGCAGTCGTATCATCAGATATTTTTGTGAGAAATTACAAGCTGTACGTCACAGAGAGCGTCTACGGATCGTGGAGGACAACCATTGAGGTGGTTCACTGTGAATCGGGTGAGAGTGGCTAAAACGAATAGCCGTCCACGGTCACTACCAATATCCGAGGAAATGTTCATGCCTGGCAAGCATTCATTCTGCTCTGGAAACCCGCAGATGTCCAAAAAAGAAATCATGACTAATTATGGAATGACCCATGAAGCTAACTCATTGCCAAGTAAGAGCAAGTTAAATATACGACAACCGCATATGACAGGATTATATGATGAGCATTTCTCCCAAACGATTGTTTGCAGTCATAATGCCGCTTCTGTAAAAAGAGTGTATTGAGGATACGAATATATGCACAGGATGGAACGTTCATTAGGCCTGAAAACTTCGTTTGGATTGGATCTCATCCAGCATTTGCTGCAACTCCTCTTCGGTGAACCGGGAACAATCCAGACTGGGAATGAGAGCCTTCACTTCTTCCGCTGTGTCCGGCAACAGGTTAGCGACCGAGGACAATTCGAATGAATGTAGCCTTTTCTGAGACAGCAGACTAAAAGATGATTAATATGAATGGGGTCATCAAATAGTTGAAAACGGCACATACGCTCGAACGCTTTCGATTGTTTCACGATTATTGAACTTGGAAAATTGTGTAGCATAGTTCAGCGTTTTTGTAAACACCTGGGACATCTCCAACTCGTGGATTGTTGCCGTCTCATTTTGCTCTTTCCTAGTGTGAAGTGATAAAAGAAACATATGGATTATTTGATTAGATGGTTATCGAAGCGGTCAATAAGCCCCGTGATGGAAATGAACAGTGAGTTTTCATCACGAGAGAAACAACGGGAAAATCGTTTTCTTTATGAGTATTTATTGAAAAAATGATATGCACTATTTCTGTCCGAATAGAATTGCAGTAAGAGAGACCTTGTAGCGTACGTAAATGGCAAACAGAACACTGAAACTGATTTCGGAGCACATGCTCACGGACTGGTAAGAGAAGTGAATTAATGCGAGGTTGCAATCACCGAACATCATACGGAGTCACTCACTGTACAGTGGATAGAAGAGAGCAATGTATGTACAGTGGAGCAGACAGAGGATGTTCCAGTTTCAGTATGTACAACCACTAACCATGCACTTTCATGCGACCGCTTTGATTGCTGCATTTTGGCTGCCCATTTGGATGAACAGTAGGAGAAAGACAGGAAAGCTGAAAGTAGAGTCGAATAGAAAATCGGGAATTTCAGGGGACTAAGCTTGCAAACAAACTGAGAAGACGCACGAAACGCGACACTTAGAATGATCCCGATGTCTCCATCCAGGGAGGTTAACGCAACCTATACGACCGAGTCTCTTGGTTGAGGTTTTTATACCCTGGTGCCAGGCCTCAGTTTGACCACCTTTGGATTTTTCCAACCAACCCCTGACTCGATAAACACCACGCACCGTGGCCAATTATTTGGTGGCATGCGTAACAAATGAAGCAAGCAAAGTAACCTAAGGGCGACCACTTGCTCCAATGAGCAACCCAGATTAACCCCAACTCTGCGCCTAACCTCAGCATTGCTAGTGCGGCTGCCCTACCAGATTCGTGCAATGCTGCGTAGACAGCGGTGTTCAAACATCGGCAGTTTATCTTTATCCTGTTGCCCTAACGGCCAAGTTTCTGCACCGTATAGCAAAACTGGCCGAATTTCCCTAACATCACTCCTTCAATTACTTTCCGATTGCTGTGCGACTGCCTCTTCATTCCTTCACTACCGTTATTACCGCGGATTTCACTCTACGAAGCTAGTCGATCTGAGCACTTCCATGAACTCTCGAAATCTGGCAAAAGAGCCTCAAGTATGCCTCACTAGATGAAGCTAAAAATCTAACGAAAGGCGACGTTTAAATTCCTTGTCTCCAAGAACGGCATAATTGTCTTTTGTCCTGCTTACAACATTTGTTGTTCAAGTGCAGAAAATAATCAGTTGTATTTCAGATGGATGTCCTCTCCCGATACCCATCGTATAGTATTTCCAGTGACTATGTGGTATACCACTTCGATTTACATCATGTTTGTCATAAATACATCGAGCGGTCTACAGAGATATGACTTTTATCTACTAGGAATGGTGGTAGGCAGTTTTGCTGTTGCGGTTGAACACCACGCCTAACCGGGTGTGGTTTGCGACTTGCAGTCCCGGGGCTTAGATTGTCGGCTTCCATGACTGAACAATAGGTCTTCGTAACTATGGGGTCCAACCCGTCCATCACACAAACATGTAATAAAAAGGGAAGCACTTTTCTAGCTACTGACAAGAGGTCAGTCGCAGGAGAAAAGAAAATTCTGAAGGGAAGTCCCCAAGGGACTCGGGTGAGTTGCTACTTCTCCTACTTAGTCTACGAAAGTGTCATTATGGTTGGAGGTTGGTGACCTTTGTGGTGACTGGTTTTTCACTAGCACCTCACAAAGTGCTCCCATACAAACAAGTGTCCTAAATGGCCTCACGGCTTCCGGGTGGCAAATTTCCCCCACCAAAGTGAAAGACGAAAAGCTAACATCCGGGGCCATTACCGGATCCGCGAACCACTGGCAATGTACCTAGGATAGTTGGCTAATAAAACTGATTCTAAACCAACTAAGAGTCGTAAGAACCAAATACACACCCTGGTTATGACAGTGTTGACTNTGTTGACTGACTCGATTGGGTATTGAGGTGTATCGAGCCGATCGGACGTTCGACCCCGTCCAAAGGGTGTAGGAACGGATGACCTGGACATCGGTTCCCAATAAACTGTGGGCACTGATCTCCGTCCTGCGAGTCAGGTTTTGGATAGCTAAAGGCTCCGCCAAGAAAATAAGCATGTTTAACTTGGATGACCTGATAGTATGCCGTTAACGAGCAATCCATGGTTTTATTTCTGTTATAAAGATTATACAACCTGGACCGAGAAACATGTGAAATATAATGATTGCCACCCTGATAGACGAGATGGATCGACTTTGGGTATATCGTCGGGGTGGCTTTTACCACGTTCTGCTAGATCTCTCCCTAGGCCTGAGATAAGTTCATGCTTCATGACTAGATGCACTGAAAGTGAACTAAGGATATTCGGAAATGGGAGACCTGCCAATATTCGATCTACGAGTGACTGTACTGAACACACTTTAGAAAAAGCGAGAAAAGAGTGTATAACATGACCATCAGGGAGCGATAAACACTCAGTTGAAGAGAGACTGGATGCACTTCATCGGCCTTTGTACTCAGGTCAGCAAGAGAATCAATCTTCAAGCGATGCAAACAAATACCGGAGACAATCAAAGTATAGTATATGCAACACAAAAAAGATAGATAAAAAGAGACAAACTACTTGATGAGAAATTTTGTACAAAAAGGTAATTGAAGACCAATCTGATTCATGAGAGAATGTTGAAAGCATCGGGAGTGTCGCGGCTCGTATGATATCACACAGTGATACAGTATGGGGACAGCGAATAACTAATCAACGATTCCTAACCACGCCTTACCATCACGACAAGACTACACCTTGACGAGGTGATGGCTTCCATGCCTAGAAGACCCTGCGAGCTATACAAGATGGCTCCCCAAAGCCGTAGATTCAATCATACCTGAAAGGGCAATGAGTAGAGGCCAGACAAAGACCAATCTCACAAGGCCAGCTGCTTGGGCACCTCCTGGCTTCCTTTGTTCATCCACACCAGCCCCTGGAGAGGTCACTCCAGCAAAAAAACACGAGGCAGTTTACCGGTTGAAAACCCCATTAGAAGGACGTAGGGGCGGGATATCTGGGGCTTCCTCCCGACGGTGAAGGAAGTCTTCGCACTTCATTGGACAGCTACCACCCGCCCAAGTTGTGCAGCCCCCAGTCAATTAAGTGCTGTCGCGTCCACGATAGACTTATCTAATTGGGTGCATGAGGCTAAGGGCCAATCCCGAAAATCGGACGGTCAAACAACGCACCCCCGAACAAAAACCTTACCGAAATCCACAGGCCTTGCGTGACAGGTTTCCAGAAGCTCCCACACGGGTGCTTCGTTTACGCTCCCGCGTTAGATCTACGCTCCACTGCCTTGTGGGTCAGACTTTTGAATCCAAGGACCCCGTTGGGGTTCACAAAGAAAAGCCCCTTCATCGGTGTGGACAACCACGAAGTATGCCGTGCCCCAAAGTTTTAGGCATCCATTTGAAAAACCATCTCCCTCGACAGTCCACTTCCTCTTCTCATTTCCAAACCTTAGGAGATGCATCCTGCCCCCCCCCCTCATGGGATATCACTCAGTGTTCAACTAATGAGGCTATCAGATTTTTGAAACCGAAATACCTTGTTTACTTAGCCGCATTTATGTCCGCACACTCTACTAGATCGTTCAACAAGCTGCCTTAGCTAGAACCCTTGAAACTTTCCATTTAGATGTATGCTGTGTCTCCGAAACAAGCATACAAGACCCTACTTCACTCATCTCCCTGCGTTCTCCAGATCCAACCTCATCCTCACGCTCCACTCTCCATGTGTCAGACGATTCAGTAGCCGACGCATGCGGTGTTGCTGGTGCTGGGATTGCGCTGTGTCTAGGCCCAGCGTTCACTCCTAGACTGGATCTCGGTTAGTAGCTGACTGCGCTGTACGTCTAGATGCTTCAGTGCAAACCAGCAGCTACAGAACGAAACGTCACCATCATCATCATTATACAGTGTAATACAGTGAAACGAACTTCACTGATCGATGTCAACCTCATAATGCATACAAGATAAGTGAGAATGTGTAAGGAGGACAAGGATTGGGTCTATTTTTAGGGACGGGAAAGGAAAGCGAACCTCTATGGTCAACACATAGAGTACACAGTCCAACTGTGCATACATACCATTTCAAGCATTCTGGTCTGATAAGAAGTAACAGCAAGCTCGCCATTGCTATCGGTTCGCAGCCATGACCTTCAGTGTCTCCAACCATGCAGCTTTGGAGTCTTTAGGACCCCAACCCGGAAGACGAGAGACATCTACTCTACCTAATCGTTTTGTGCATTTCCTTATGCCTCGTCTCCATGTCATCTGCTGGCCTCCACGTGAATTTCTCCAGCCTGTAACGGCCACTGCAAACAAGGCGCGCTGCGGTAGGCGACCGTCGGACATACGCAAAACATGTCCTAACCAACGGAGCCTATTGAGCTGGATTCGATGCGATAGCGAGTTCTTGTTTGATGTATTCCTAAACACCCGAAGACTTACTTCTAGCTTATGAAGTCACTCACTCCATTCCACTTCGGCCAGACTATGTAAGCATCGATTGTCGAACACTGCTAAACGACGGGTGTCTTCTACCCGCGAATTGAAGGTCTCACAATCTTAAGGCAGAACTGATCGTACAGTGGCGCAGTATACGCGACTTTTCAACTTCAGTGAAACGTCCTGCGTACCCTACTCGAGCCTTAGAGATGCGGGCGGTTATATCCTTTCATGCGCTACCGTCGTTGGTCACGCAGCTACCTAAATACGAGAAGCAGTCAACCTCAGCTAATTTCTGACCGTCTAGTTTCAGAACAGGACACGGCGACACCCAGTCTTTCAGCATCGCTTTGCATTTTGAAGGTGCAAAGCACATGCCGAACGGAGCAACAGAACTTGCTGGTCTGTCAAGTGCGCTTTTTGCATCCTTCATAGATTCTAACAAGCAAACCATGTCGTCAGCGTACTCCAAATCGCGTATTCGTCGTATCTACGCATGCATCGACTGATTGCAGTTCGCCTGAAATGAAGAATGAATTCTACAGGGATCTCTCAACTGCGCGAAGGTGCTCGGTCAGCAGTCGCTGGAGAATTCAATGCTCCATTGGTACCGCTGGAGGAATCAGAATGGCTAATTGGTTTTTATGCAATTCCAGCTAACCGGACCGACAATGGAGAACGCCTACTCCAACTTTGCGCTGACCACAGACTGTTTCTGTCAGGCAACAACTACTCTCACAAGAAACGACACCGGCTTACATGGAGACCGCCAACCGCTTCACAGCGCTGGACTCAAATCGACCTCATCGTCAACCACCGCTGGCGAGGATCTATTGAAGATAACACCGGTGGACACGGACCATGCTCTGCTACGAGCCAGACTCTCCCTACGCCTAGTAAACAACCGCAGAAAAGCCACCAGGAATGAATGCTCACAATACATTGTCAGCAGCGGTTGCAAATCGGCCTTCGAAGTGGAACTATCAGATCGCCTCTCAGCTCAACCATCTTGTGTATGTATTGGGGTTTTTCAACCATCAGCCGGAAAACTCTATGAACACTGGACGTCAATTAAGGAAGCGATTCAAATGTCAATGAAAACAACGGCAGATTCTGACGCAAGATCAAACCAAAAACCAAAAGGAGTTTAGCGGCACACTGATTCATATTCAGAAACACCGTCTTGAACTTTGGGCAGAAAATTTTGAGTTACAGTTCAGCGGAACCCCTTCGACATGAGACTTCCCTATACTCGCTTCAAATGAGCAAATACTGCCAGTTGACATCAGTCCTCCATCTGAAATGAAGGTTACTTGAGAAGTAAATTATCTCAAAAGATATAAGGCCTCCAGCCCCAACGTACTGTCCCATCGGTTTCTAAGGGTGGAGGTTCAGTTTTGGTTTTGGAGTTAACGAAACTCCTGGGCTGTGTGGGAGGGGGGAGGTTCCAACGGAAAGGTTTGAATCGGTGATCATAACCATTTACAGGGAAGGCGACAGATCCTCTTGTGAAAACCAATGAAGAACTAATTAAATCAACACCATCACTAAACTTTTTGCTCGTATTGTAATCCGTCGATTGTCTGCCGAGAGTGAGGAGTGCACACGTGAGAATCATGCTGGTTTTATACCTGGTCGAAGATGTATCGACCATATCTTCACTCTTCGTCAAATTCTAGAGCGCAGATACTACTTTCGTAGGCCCACCCTTTCTATTTTGCTCGATCTGAAAGCGGCTTCCGACTCAGTCGACCGTTTCAAATCCTGGCGCGGCCTCGCTCTAAAAGGTGTGCTCTAGAAGTTTACTTCAATATTACGATCCCTTTATACTAATGATCGAAGCCGAGTCCGAGCTTACGGCACTCTTTCTTTCTTTCACCGAAGTTCAGTACTTTAAGTGGTGTTCCACAAGGTTGCCCTGTCTCTCTCCATTTCTAATTAACTTCGTGGTAGATTTAATTTTTAAAACAGTCCTATCCTCGTGCTAGGATAGCGGTATCATTTTTTTCATTTACGGTGGCTGGCTCCTGGGAGAGAATAAGCCGGCTTCATGGATATCTCGAATTGCCGCTGCCCATGCTCGGCTATCTGTGGCAAGATCAGCGCAGATTGTGATCCAGCTTGACTTCCGTTGGCGAACGCCGTAGACGGAACGGTGACCAAGGTTTTCAGTATCCTGTCATACCATGTCAAGCCAGGTTTTCAGCTGTCCACCGTGTCGACAGCGCCAGTTCGGGCAGGGAGGCAGTGCCAAGACAGCTTTTTTCAGGTCGTTACCGGACTTACGAAGAATGTGGCCAAACCACTGTAGTCGCCGCCGTTGCATCAGCGTCTTCAGCTGTACAAGATTAAAACACCGATTTCTGACCACTTCATTTAGGAGTTGATCCCTCCATCATACTGCCAGAGTGATTCTTAAGCACCAGTGATCGAGGACTTCTAATCTGTGACAGTCTTCTTCTCTGAGTGGCCAGGTTTCGCAGCCGTATAGCAAAACAGGACGGACTGCTGCGTAGAAAACTTGGATTTTTGTCTTGAGGCTGATTTCATTTCTGCGCTAAAGGGGATTCTTCAACTGTAAAAACGCCCTTCTTGCAGCATCGACGCGCATTTACACCTCGTCTTTAGCTTGGCCGTTGGGGAGAATGGTTGAGCCCAAGTATTTGAAGCTTTCGACGGATTCGATCCGCTCACCGTAGTAAAGCATTTTCGGGATCAATCGGGACTGTCGCAAAGGTTTTGGTTTTCGATGTGTTCACCTCTACGCCGATCTCGGAGGCCTGGCGACTGATGCGGTCAACGATTACTAGGGGGTTAAACATGTCCTTGCCAAAGACGACAATATCATCCGCGAATTCTAAGTCGGTGAGCCCTAAGTTCGGAGAGATTTGAGCTCCCTAATATGCTTCCATCGAACGACACATTATCCAGTCCACGGCAAAGTTGAACAGCATTGGGCACCCCTGTCGCACTCCAGATCTTAACCCGAACGGGCAAGATTCCTCTCCGTAGACACGGATTCGGGCGCTAGTGTTAGAATAGTAGGATCTCAATAAGTTGGCAAGTTTGACTGGGACACCATCGGCCAGAACTATACTTCAGAGGAATTCGCGATCTACGGAGTCGAATACCGCGCGGAAATCGATGAAGCAGACTGTTGTCGGTTGTTGAAACTTGTGGCGATGTTCCAAGAGTCGACGTAGAGTGAATATTTTATCGACGCAGCCCACACCGGGACGGAATCCTTTCTGGTTGGGACGAGTGCGTGCGTGCCTTGCTGCAGCAAAGCGGTTCAGCAAAAGTTGTGCAAAAACCTTGGCCGCCACGTCAAGTAAGTTGATGCCCCTGTAGTTTTCGCACACTGATTTGTCACCCTTTTTAGGGAAAGGTAGTAAAACCGATGTCGTCCAGTCAGTTGGGCAAATTTTGGTTTCCCAGATTGCACACAGTAAGCTATGAGGAGCGTTTAAAATGGCGGAAGAACACTTTGCATAGATTTCGGCGGGTATAGCGTTCTCACCGGGAGATTTCCGTGGCTTGAGATGGCTGATGATATCTGAGATTTTTCGTACTGATGGCGGAACGCAGTTAGCTTCGTAAGGCGAAGATGGCGAGGAGGGTGCATACGGAAGTTGGATTTGAGGGCGATTGAGAAAAAGATTAAAGTGTTTCACTCATCGAGTCATTATCTCTGCGCATCACAAATGAGCTCGCCGGAGGCACTGTGCAGCACAGAGTGGGTGACCTATTTCTTGCTCGATGCTGATCGAATAAGTTGGAAGAGGGCTGCCGTGTTGCCCAGGTTGACTGTTGTCTAAATTTTTGTAGCCATTTGATTCCAGTAGTTGCATCTATCTGCATCGATTTACTCCCAGGTAGCAGACTGTCTGATCAAGAGTATGAAGACGATGTTGTGCTACTAAGTGCAGATCCAGGTAAGTTGCAAGCTTTTCTTATCATCATAGTACAGCTAAATACAGTGAAGCGAACTTCATAGATCGCTATCAAGCTCACAATGTACACAAATCAAGTGATAAAGCACAAGATAGGGAGAGATTGGGTCTAACTGGAGGGAGGCAAATAAAGTGAACCTCTGCACAGAGTACACAACCTAAGTGTGCAGACATACCTTTTTAAGCATTCTGACCTGATAAGAAATGACAACAAGAACGCCACTGCTGTCAGTCAGTCGCCATACCATTCAGTGTCTTTAACCAGCCAGTTGCAGTCTTTTGAACCCCAATCTGGAAGACGGGAGACACCGATTCCACCTAATCGCTGTGCGTTTCTTCGTGCCTCGTTTCCACGTCATCTGTTGACCTCCACGCGGTTTCTTCCAACCTAGGGCTGCAACCGCGAATAAGACGCGGTGCGATAGACGATGGATGGGCAGGTGCAATACGTGTCCTGACCAACGAAGCCGACTAATCTGAATTCGATGAAACAACTAATTATCCATGGAATCATTACCAAATACGCGACGCCTTACCTCAGTTTCTTACCTTTTCTGGATAGTTTGAGTGCTAGTGTAGCCATGTTCGGTGTGCGTTCTGCACCTTCAAAGTGTAAAATGCTGCCACAAGATTGGGTTGGTCCAGCCCCAAACCTCTCTGACTGGGGAAGTAGTAGAGGAAAGAGACAAATTTTGTTATCTGGGCAGCTATATCTCACCTGGCGGACGGGTCACAGATTAAGTTTCGGCGCGCGCACAAAAGGCTCGGTTGGCATTTGCCAACTTAAGACATCTGTGGCATCGTCGCACTATCCGGCTGTCTGTGAAGGGCCAATTATATGCAGCAGAAGTTCGACCAGTGCTGCTCTACGGTGCACAGACTTGGCCATTACGGGAACAGGATAAAAATAGATTATTGGTGTTTGAACACCGCTGTCTACGTCGCATTGCATGAGTCTGGTGGAATAACCGGACGAGCAATGCTGAGGTTAGGCACAGAGTTTTAGGTAATCGCAGTCGCCCACTGAGGCAAGTGCTCGACCTCCATAAATTACTCTGGTTGGGGCATGTGTTACGCATGTCACCAGATAGGTTGCCACGACGAGCGATGTTTGTCGAAACAGATAGCGGTTGGTAAAAAGTCAACGGCGGTCAAACGAAGACTTGGTATGCGGGCATGAAAATGCTAAAAAGGTGGCTCGGTCACCTAGGTCCCGTTATCCAAATGGGCAGCCAAAAGACAGCAACCCAAACCGGTGCACGAAAGTGCTTGGTTACTGGCTGCAGAAACTGAAACCACGTCTTAGCATATGTGTGGAAAAAAAACAGTTCAAACGTTTAACCAGTGGTGGAAATTACTGCATTTGTTTGAGTTAGTAAGCATCAATCTAGGAAGGATAACACTTACGATTACCTGTGTTCAAGGAGCAGTTTCACCTCAGCTAACATGAGTGTATCGGCAGTCTCGAACTCTGTTACAGCGTTAATGAACGAAAAACTGAAACATACCTTTAGGAAATTTCAACACGGTCGCATCGCACTCATCGGAAACAGCATGCATTTGTGACATCTTTCCAAGTGCAAATACCGTTCGAAGAAACGTGATATCCTTCACAAAGCTGAAACAACGGAAATCGTCAGGAGCGAAATGATTGAGACTTGAAGCGACAACCCGAAGGGAGAGAACTTCGACTATCCTATTCAGGCTCAAAATACACATAAAGTAAGAATGCGTACTTCAGTTGGGGAGTGAGGCTCTTCTGAGTGAAGGGGCAAGAAAGTAGGCCTCTATAATAAACACAACTTACTCGGTCTATCTGTGCACATAAACCTACGAGAATCATTGTTTGATAAAAAGAAGAAGCATCCATGCTTCTGGTTGGCCGCTAGGTTCACCATCGTACAGCGGAATACAGTGAAGCGAACTTCACTGATTACTGCCAAAAACTCATAAGGCATACAAAGGCAAGTGAAGATGTGTAAGGAAGATATGGATTGGACCTACTTTTAGGGACGGGAAAAGAAAGAGATCCTATATGGTCAACATACAGAGTACACAGTTCCACAATGCATACACATTATTTCAAGCATTCCGGTCTGATAAGAAATGATAACAAGAGCGCCACTGCTGTCGGTTTGCTACCATGACCGTCAGTATCTCCAACCATCGAGTTACGGAGTCTTTCTGACTCCAATCAGAAAGATGGGAGACATCTACTCCACCTAATCGCTCCCAGCATTTCAAAATGCTTCGTCCCCACTTTATCTACTGGCCTCCACTTGTCTCTAGCCAGTCTGGAGCGGCCACTGCAAACAAGGTGTGGTGCAGTAGGCGACCGTTAGACATACGGAAAATGTGTCTTAACCAGGGGAGCTTACTAGGCTGAACTCAACGTGATAGCGACTTTTTGCTCTATGCGGCCCCAAACACCAGACGACCTACTTTTAAGTTACTAACCCGCTCGCTCCATCTCAATTGAACCGGACTACGTAAGCACCGATTAACGAAGACCTCCGGGCGATGGATATCTCCTATCCGGAAATTCAAGGTCTCACAATCTTAAAGCAGAACTGATCGTACAGTGGCGCAGTATACGCGACTTTTCAACTTCAGTGAAACGTCAGGTCGCTGGCATAGGTGTTTTCGTCATGCGTACGCTGCTCGAGCCTTCGAAATGTGGGCGGTTATCTCCTTTCATGCGCTACCGTCGTTGGTCACGCAGCCACCTAAATACGAGAAGCACCCGACTTCAGCTAATTCCTGACCGTTTAGTTTCAGAACAGGACACGGCGACACCCAGTCTTGTAGCATCACTTCGCACTTTGAAGGTGCAAAGCACATGCCTTTGTGCTGACAATGAGGATATCATCTAAAGGTAAAGCCTGCACTACATAATGGAACTTAGACTGGATGAAACCCCGAGTAGGGAAACGCGATTGGACAACCGGAAACCACACAGAGATTTTATGGGAAAACGGTGGGCAGGTGAAAATGAAAGCGTTCAAAATTATCGAGTGCTGCTTAATAGGATTGGGTTTCCCTGACTGTGTCATGGTTTGGATACAGCAAACTAATAAACTAATAACACTAAAGCCCTAACGATAATTTCGTACAAACACCCAAATCCAACAAAACGGAAAAATACTTTCTAAAATAATTAATTACACCCCGCGTAGCGCAAAAAATATTCAAGTCAAATTCAAATTCAGGTCAGGTCAGGTTGCACAGGACT